TTATTTTGTGATACAACTGCAAAAGATCAGTTAATATCTATTATAATAAGTGCAATAATAATTAATTGAAAACATAACTATTTCCAACGCCGACGTCAGTTTGCAGACTTGCTTGGTGGCGATCAAAGTCCAGAGGCCAAGTATGCAAAATACGTCATGATGTCATAGTGCCTGTGGGGAAAGTATGAGAGAAAACCCCGCTTTTCCTAAGGTCACTTGACGACTTTTTAAATATTCTTTGATGATGGCACGGTGCGCTGGATGTACTTTTTTTCGGCAGGAAAGTGTGAGAGAAAAAATATCAATAACTCCAGTGTTGAAAAGAAAGAAATCTCATCACGCGGAATGATATTTAAGCATTGAACTGTTTTTGTATGGTATTTATGATCTATTTGAATGACACAGCTTTGCAAGCAAACAACATAATGCGCGTTGCAAAGCTGTGTCATTCAAATATATCATAAATACCATACAAAAACAGTTCAATACTTATATTTACGTTTTCTCTGCCCCTTTTGTTCTTTTTTAACTGATAATTTATATTTAAAATTAAAAATGCGCGCCTTATCGACAGTCCACACATTTTCGTTCAATAGTTTGAACAGCGTATTGTCGCGTGATGATTGGCAAACAAAGCAGTATTTTGAAATTTGAACAAACACTTCAATTTTATTCCACTATTCAGTATCAATACAATTGCGTATGATATGTCTATAGGGTGATTTAAGTTTATCAAAAGAACTCTGAGCTGAAAGTTAGATTTGAAATTGTTTCGATTTTCGCCGGAACAAATTCGCGCATGGACAAATACAGTGAACACCGTAAATCCGACCTTGCCCTCCACGAGGGAGTTCTTTTTGGAAGTTAATTCGAACTTTTCTCTTTGCTCATTTTGTGAAGAATCCAGGCGTGAATGTATTTGTTGATTGTATGGGAACCTGACAACTGTCGGTAGATTCTATAACAGACTCGTTATTTGACATGTCGTCGGAAACTGAAGAACCGTGGATGCGAGACGCATGCAACTGATAGCGTTTGAAATGAGTGATCTTGCGACGGAGCACAGGTTCGTTACAAATGTCTGAAATGTGTATGTGTGCTGTGACTCATATCAGTAGGTCTGTAACATATGTGTCAGTAGGTCTATAGAATATGTGTATTTCAGACATTTGTAACGAACCCCTGTTGGTCAGTGCAGTGTAACAGACGATATTTCTGATAAATTGCATGAGCGTTACAATTGTTTCCATTGCCGGCATTGGTGATTTCAACCGATGTGCATTTTGTACGGTATTGCAGACCTTGGTCTTGTTTTCGTTGTAATAAAAGTGTTTTTTTTTATTATTTTTTTTTATTATTTTGCACATAAATTTATTATGACATTGTCAAATCTCACAATGCCCAGTGATATTTCAGCAGCCATCATGTTTAATCATATTGGATATTGTAGTTCCGGTCAGTGTTGTATTAATACGCTAAGAATTGTGTCTCGTGATGCATGGTAATTAAAGTCCCATCAATTACACAGCTTTCAAAGAGGCTATATAGTGACAATGCCATGTAGATGTAAATATTTAAAGTTTAGTACACAGCAAAGCCCCATGTTGAGAGTTATCCTTGAGTTGTGCCGTCTACATCACACGATGGGGGTGGGTGGGTGGAGGGGTGGGGGTGTAGATTCTATTACTCTACGATGACATACTGTTTCCTGATTGTACTATAGTATTTAGTGAACATGTGTTATATTTCTAGTAATTTATCTTGTCTGATGTGGTTTGTAGCCTAATGACATGATTGAACTGAAACTGAGAAATGATATCAAAATGAATTGCCCCTTGAGAGGTCGTTTTTACGAAATGTTGAGTTTTGGTGAGAGTTGACAAACTCGAAAAGTGCGTCTGTGGTGATATTTTAAAGTTAAGTTGAATGGAAGCGGTGATTTAGTATAAAAACACGTATTATACATACATGTGCATGTACTTTACCACTAAGATGATATCATTTGATCTTGAAAATGTTTCCGATTCGCCATTAAGTGACGACAGCCTTTAGCCCCTGAAACATATTCAGGGTAGGATTTATAGCCGACACGTTTTCCTCTAAGAGTGTGAAGGTGAAGAGCGTAGTACTTGTATTTAACGTTGATGTACTTCGTTATACAACCTACCAGCAGCATGACAAATCCATCACCATGGGTTGTCAGTGGGAGAATTTTCGAGAAACAATTGTGAACGACTCGAGAATGGAATTTCCCTTTGGTCTGCTCGCGCCCGATGACGTCGTTAAACCGGGAATAATATCCACACAAAGCTTAAGGTGTTCCACGTAAGACAATTGTCCGTGAAAAGTATTATGAGGTTGGCAACACCATTTTAGGCGTCAGTTTTAGCATGGATAAGCTAATGACAATACTATTGTTTTAAAAATATATTTCTACATTGGTTAAATGTTCATGGTATTCCTCTGTGCAGAATTTGAACCTCTAGACATTTGTTTGCATACGTTGACTATTTTATGATTGAGGAACTATAACTATATAAGGCAGCAGTATATGAATAAAAGCAGTTAATTACACATGTATTGGATTTCAGTTTTTATCACGTACTAGAGATGAGAAAATTGTTCAAAATTGAAAAAGAAAATCATTGAAAACACAATGTGATCATCTGTAAATCCCATATTTGTATACATAATTGATAAGGTGATACATGTATCACGATCTAAATTTTATTTTATTTTATATCATGTTTTGAAACAAAGCAGAACCCAGTTCAGATCTTTGTGTTCACATTGTACATGATGATATTTACATAGGTGTCCCGAACGGACTGATCCAAGACACGCTTACATTAAAATATAGATATTTACATTTTTAGTCACCCCTACTTTGATAGGTTATGCATCAACATGTACTTGATTTTATCCATTACTAATCACGTTTTCGCGGTTTTTGACTGACTACATTGCTGCTGTTTCACAGCTTACAGTTTATGTGAACCAACGGCACCAATGGGCCATGGACCAACCAGGACCTGCAGTGCCGGGAAAATCACATTTCAATTTGGGAAAACATAAAGCAAGTCTCCATAGTCGAGATTAACTATCCACAACTTTAATAGACATACAAAGTAGCATGTACGTGACAGCCATGCCTCTTTTATTGTAACAAATTACATCCCTGCGAACGTTGTATTGCAGTATCTTTCCTTCCTTATAAAGAACATTATTAGACTGAATTTGCTCAGTGCTGTAGATGAGAGTTACGGTTGAAGTGAAATTATTAAATAAAAAGACTCTACAAACTAGGTCCAATACAGATGAATGTGTTTAACTAGAACAAAGAAGAGTTAAAATCATGTCCGGTTATATCATAGGTTATCGCAATACTGAACGCCAGATCAATAAGAATGTCCTTTGTAATCCAAGTTAGCTACTAATATATCGCAATTTGAAGGTACAAAAATACCAAAGCCGATTTCTGTTTTAATGGTTTACCTAGTGGAGCCAAACACATACGATTTTGGCAACTTCTAAATCATCCTGCTGTTTTGCTTTTATATTGTAACTAAAAAACAAACCGTTACACCAAGCTGCCTAGTTCGAGCCTAAAATATATCGAAACAAAACTTCTTTATATCATCACTACACTGAGCCATGTTTCAGAAATAGATTCAAAAAAACGATTCCATGACATTCGCTTAATAGAAAACCATATAGATGTCGACATTTTCACAAGACTATTTCGACAACTGAAGATCAAATAGTCGGTCTGGATTAACTTAACCATCACCAGAGAGCAGGGAAGACATTTTAGTAAAAACTGAGGATACACAAATTCGGAGGAGAGAACGTGCCCACACTGCGCAGCTCACCTGGGGTTCGGCTTTAAATCGATAAAGCACAACTCCATAATCAACAGGCATTCACACAAATTATAAAAACAACTGTGATAATATCGTTTGTTGATACACAGCGAGTCAGACAAATAGATAAAATAAAAATAGCAGTTGTCTAAAGACGCGGCGCAACAATAAAATATATCAATCCGAGCACGCTGAAGACCTAGACTAAGACACTGATGTTACAACTGTGACGTTCACCTATGATAAACTATCGTTACTTCAATAACATTGTTATGTATGTGTACAGCTTATGAATAGGGCTTGGCGAGTTGATGAGAGAGGCATGGGAGACAGGGTGAATCACGTAGAGACTGGATCGGTTAGGAAAATAATGGAAAGTACAGAAAAAAGAGACAATATAAGTGCCGACAGTTATGTGTAGTTCGGAAATGTAATGAGATCAGTCTCGAGGCGTATTTATACAACGGTTTGTGTGACTAGACCGATTACCATAGAATGTCAAGCACTGCGGAGCTTTGCGCCATTTCATAAAGACAAGCTCATTTCGATATTCGGTGAAGTCTTCATTTTCAAACAAATATGTATATTTCGAGTAATTACGTAAAGCTTTGGGGATGTTTAGAACTCAGAAAAACAGAATCCTCACACAAAGGCGAACATGTAAATGTCTTTATGTGGTGAACGGATCTGCATAACGTTTGTTTTCCGTCTGACGTTATTGTCAACACAGCGTGTGAAATTTGAAGAGCCGTTTAGTAAAACACTTTTAAACCGTACAACGGGATATTTACATTGGTATTCCTCAGACCATTTCGTTTTACGGGATAAATACACTGTGCTCTACTGAACTTTATCCTTCGACCAAAGCCCCAGTAAACCCAGTTTAACCCTCAATAGTTGTATTATCATCAGTAATAAACGGGCTCATTTTACAGGTCTGAAAGATCACATTACCAGGCAATACAAAGGACATTTGAGGGGTCCCATTACCAGGCAATACAAAGGACATTTGAGGGTTACCATTACCAGGCAATACAAAGGACATTTGAGGGTTACCATTACCAGAAAATACAAAGGACATTTGAGGGGTCCCATTACCAGGCAATATAAAGGACATTTGAGGGTTACCATTACCAGGCAATACAAAGGACATTTGAGGGTTACCATTACCAGGCAATACAAAGGACATTTGAGGGTTACCATTACCAGGCAATACAAAGGACATTTGAGGGTTACCATTACCAGGCAATACAAAGGACATTTGAGGGTTACCATTACCAGGCAATACAAAGGACATTTGAGGGTTACCATTACCAGGCAATACAAAGGACATTTGAGGGTTACCATTACCAGGCAATACAAAGGACATTTGAGGGTTCCCATTACCAGGCAATACAAAGGACATTTGAGGGTTACCATTACCAGGCAATACAAAGGACATTTGAGGGTTACCATTACCAGAGAATACAAAGGACATTTGAGGGTTCCCATTACCAGGCAATACAAAGGACATTTGAGGGTTACCATTACCAGGCAATACAAAGGACATTTGAGGGTTACCATTACCAGAGAATACAAAGGACATTTGAGGGTTCCCATTACCAGGCAATACAAAGGACATTTGAGGGTTACCATTACCAGGCAATACAAAGGACATTTGAGGGTTACCATTACCAGAGAATACAAAGGACATTTGAGGGTTCCCATTACCAGGCAATACAAAGGACATTTGAGGGTTCCCATTACCAGGCAATACAAAGGACATTTGAGGGTTACCATTACCAGGCAATACAAAGGACATTTGAGGGTTACCATTACCAGAGAATACAAAGGACATTTGAGGGTTCCCATTACCAGGCAATACAAAGGACATTTGAGGGTTACCATTACCAGGCAATACAAAGGACATTTGAGGGTTACCATTACCAGAGAATACAAAGGACATTTGAGGGTTCCCATTACCAGGCAATACAAAGGACATTTGAGGGTTACCATTACCAGGCAATACAAAGGACATTTGAGGGTTACCATTACCAGAGAATACAAAGGACATTTGAGGGTTCCCATTACCAGGCAATACAAAGGACATTTGAGGGTTACCATTACCAGGCAATACAAAGGACATTTGAGGGTTACCATTACCAGAGAATACAAAGGACATTTGAGGGTTCCCATTACCAGGCAATACAAAGGACATTTGAGGGTTCCCATTACCAGGCAATACAAAGGACATTTGAGGGTTACCATTACCAGGCAATACAAAGGACATTTGAGGGTTACCATTACCAGAGAATACAAAGGACATTTGAGGGTTCCCATTACCAGGCAATACAAAGGACATTTGAGGGTTACCATTACCAGGCAATACAAAGGACATTTGAGGGTTACCATTACCAGAGAATACAAAGGACATTTGAGGGTTCCCATTACCAGGCAATACAAAGGACATTTGAGGGTTACCATTACCAGGCAATACAAAGGACATTTGAGGGTTACCATTACCAGAGAATACAAAGGACATTTGAGGGTTCCCATTACCAGGCAATACAAAGGACATTTGAGGGTTCCCATTACCAGGCAATACAAAGGACATTTGAGGGTTACCATTACCAGGCAATACAAAGGACATTTGAGGGTTACCATTACCAGAGAATACAAAGGACATTTGAGGGTTCCCATTACCAGGCAATACAAAGGACATTTGAGGGTTCCCATTACCAGGCAATACAAAGGACATTTGAGGGTTACCATTACCAGAGAATACAAAGGACATTTGAGGGTTCCCATTACCAGGCAATACAAAGGACATTTGAGGGGTCCCATTACCAGGCAATACAAAGGACATTTGAGGGGTCCCATTACCAGGCAATACAAAGGACATTTGAGGGGTCCCATTACCAGGCAATACAAAGGACATTTGAGGGGTCCTATTACCAGGCAATACAAAGGACATTTGAGGGTTACCATTACCAGGCAATACAAAGGACATTTGAGGGGTCCCATTACCCGGCAATACAAAGGACATTTGAGGGTTCCCATTACCAGGCAATACAAAGGACATTTGAGCGTTCCAGGGCAGCAATATAGGACCTCTGTTTGTCACTGCGTAGGCAAAATCAAATCAGGGTTGTGCGATTTGAGTTTACCCTTTTTGTAGCTAGGTCTCGCGAGATATGTTTATGACTGTATGTAGAGATTAACCTCGTCCATGTTTCGGAACCATGTTTATAGTGTGCACTGTGTTTTTAACGGTCATCCCTCCTTCGCACTTCTACAAGATAAAGCCATAATGACCCACAAAATTCTAATTTGAATTGGACGAAAAAAAGAATGTTACAAGATATAAATCTGATTGGCAGAGGAGACGCTGTCACTGAACACTTATCGTCAAAAAGCAATGTTGTAGTAACGGACGTTGTTTGGCACTGTTTTCAAAACTGTGTAATTTTTTTAAACCTACTTTTTGAATGCAACATGTAACATGGTGGAAGCACTAACGATACGTGTACGATTACGTTATAGTAAGTCGTTACGTATATCCGTTTTGCAGTATTAGATTCTCTTTCGTACCGCTTACTGTATTTTCTCAAATATCGGGTTGACTCAGTCTCGGTTAGATTCTCAGATATTGGGTTGACTCTCTCTGTCAAATTAGCTTCTGTAACCTTCACTGTATATTTCGATTGGGTTGTTAATGCTACCTGTAACACGGACGTTTTCCTGTTCTGATTAAATGTTTATTGAGTATGGGGTTAAACTAGCCTTTGCCAGATTATTTGTACTATTTTCTATGTTTTCTCAGACATATGAGTTGACATATGCTTTTTCGGATTATTGACTGTATCGGAGTTGCACAGACTCCATCAAGCTATTTTTAAATCTGTTTATTTTGGAGATATAGGGTTGACATAGCCTTTTTTTGGCAATCGTCTGTATCGTATTTACACAGACTCCATAAAACTATCTCCTGGCATTTTTGCTGTGTGTTCTTGGATATCGGGTTGACATAGTCTATATTGGGCTGTGTTGTATTGACACAGACTCCATCATCATGCGATCTCCTGGTATGTTTACATTTTTTCAACGCTTATGAGTTGTCATGTGCTCTATTAACTATCTCCTAGCTTGTTTAATGCACTCTCCCGAGCATTTGGCGGTCGGCCTAGCTGAAACTTAGATGACTCTTACTTTTCACAAACGTGTGTTTGACCTCGAAAAACTAAACAGACAATTAAAGCAAAGCAGAATCACAAAAGACAAACACGTGTCCTCGAGAATCTTTTAGGAACGCCATGGACAAACACAATAGCACTCGAAAGCTCTGATACACTTTTCCGGTACATGACTGTTCCCGCGGAATCAGGAACAGTGACGTCACTCCTCATTTTTCATGATAGTGTCAAAGTATCATTGTTTCTCAAATTTAACATATTGCATTTATTTTGCCACACACAATGCTGCACCTTGGCATGCTGGCATTACTAATCTTAATATATAAGCACACTAAGGAGCCAGTGTTGTTTCCGTGGTAGAGAGTTTTACCGTTTACCAGATTTTAATTAAACTCTACTACAGCAAATATACTATACATCTCACTGATGTTATCACAATCCACATTCCAGTTAATGGTTGAATCCATGAATTTATTTCAGTCCCTTGCTAAAAGACGCTATGAAAGTTTGACGTAATTATTCATCAAAAATAATATTTAACACAGTCTTTATCACAGATGATAGATATAATGGAAAGATAGTTGCTCGCTGTCTTGACCAAGAATGAGATTTAAAATGATTATAGCATGCCATAGGAACATTTTCAGATAATGTGTATGCTCCTTTCTTTAGTCTAATTAAAATATTATTCTTATAATGAAGTCACATTTAATTCTATATTCAGAAGTAAGAACTTGATTTTCAAATGACCAAATATTTGCTGAATGTGTTGTCGAAACGTACGAAGCACTCACACTTTGACTATTTTAGTCACAGCGAGAGCCACATCGACATTATAAGACGCCTGAAATATTGACGTCCGGTATATTTCTGTGCCGGTGCATTCGAGTAGCTCGTTTGAAACAGTACAGACAGAATCTGTTGTGCACAGATGACTCGAGCGCACTCAGAAATGAAATTAAACATCACTGATTTATTGTGTGTCGAACTTTATGGCCACTCTAGATCTGCTCATGGCACCCAATTTTGAATGTGATTTTCCTAATAATACTTTCTGATTTTGTTGATGAAAATACCTTCTTGACCAACTGCAGTAATTCCCCTAAACTTTGCTGCACTTTCGATCTCGCTATCAGGCCCATGTGATCAAACACGTTTGGTATATCACAGTTAATGATAAGCATGTGTGTTTTCTTATTCTCTATTGTCATACAAATGTTGCCAGTAAGACGGTACATACTAGAATGTCTGACTGGTGCGGATAAGAGAATCATTTTCAAAAAAGTTGTTAAATAAATGTTTGTAAACCACTCGTTCTAACACTTTCCCCGCTAGTTATGATATTGGTCTACAGTCACATAAAGTATGCCATCGCCTTATTTTAACAAATGAAAGACTGTTGCCGGTTCTGTGTTTTTTGAAACACACAATATTACATGTTACAGGTTATTCAAGTAGTTTGATTGACATAGTCAGCAGTATACATGAGTTCTCGGAGGGGTTTTTCTGAGCTGAGGACTTATTTTCATGTAAGTTTAGCTGAGAGTCACTAAACAATCATCTGTTTGAGGTACATTTATATATCACAAATTCTCAAAATAATGTTCAGATGTAATTTAAGATTCGTGATTCGGTCGAACAGTATTGCCTTTTTATGGCATTTATATCTTGATCATATCAACTAAAACGTCATATGCTATATCAACTGCGACAAACATAGCAAATAAACCATTCCAGTTTTATTGGATGATAAGATGATTTAGTGTGTCGAAGTCATTTCGTCTCTATAACCACATTTTGCGATTGCAAATGGGTTTGAGGGAACAAGGGCCCTCAGTAACATCAATGTACCCCTCATGGTCACAGGCAGATCTGTCAATAGATATAATTGAAGCTTGAGTCTGGCGGCAAAATGGGAGCTATCAGACTTCAACCTATTCTTGTAGGTTTGTGTATGACGTTCTGCAAGGAAAATGTGCTTATAAGATCGGAAAGGCATGACTACTATTGGCGGATTTTAAATGCACGTTGAATTTGCCATAAATTACAACATTATATGAGATGTCAAATGTGCTCTCGATGGATGCTTTAAAAGTTGTGCCAAAATGGATACACCGAATGCTGAGGTCAATAGAATGTGTCAATATTATGACAACTGTAACTGAAATCTATTCGTATTCGTACGACTTCATCATAGGTATACATCAGAGCATCTAAACAACATAAGTTATATAAAAGTATCACGTACACTAACACGTCAGCCCAATGTGTCTGTTACGTCTTAAAAAAGAATGAAAGCCAACGACATGTTTATGAAAATTGTCAGCGGATATATTGTTGTCAAACATGCACATGCACATACAACAAATTAAGCCTAATTTAATCATCTTGTCGATCGATTATCGATGGTATATTTTATCATGATTTTCGGAGGATAAGGTTTTGAACAGAGGAGAGGAACGACCATCTCTCGTTTGGAAAAAAGCCGATGTACAGTGTAAGTTAGTTTAAGAAGTTAACCAGAAGTTAAAGGAATCTGATTAGAGCTTTGTGCCTCGACGGCAACCGTTTCGTCACGTTTCCCCTTCAGACGTGTCTTGCAGCTCACAACACAACACGAACCGTGCTTTCAAAACAGTTTCCTTCTTTTAACTGGGCAAAATGGGACAGCAAGATAAATGAAGATAGTGAATTGGATTTTTTAATAACATAGGAGACATTCCTTCAGATCGATATTTAGGATCAGTAGAAGAAGTGCTTCTATATAGTTAAATAAAGCTAATACTTGGTTTTAACTCGCTATGCAAGCATGAATTTATTTTTACTTATCGGGTTTTTTGGGATTGGAGGGGCATGTATTTCAATAATGCGCGCGTCATACCGTTTATCGTTAATATATAAGAATGCAGTAAACGATCCAAACCTGTACAAATAAGTGGAAAATCCATGTGTTATAAGGATTTAGTAATGATTCCAATGGAAAAAGAGATGCATGTCTGTTTCAATTAATTTTAAACAGCCTCAAAGCAAGGCCTCAAATCCACTGTATACCTATACGAATTGTTTCAATGTTAAACTGACAGAATGAGTGATATTGTTGTATTGAACGATGGAAATTAATGTTGTGTTCGATGGTTTCGTAGCTTCATCTTGAAACAAGGACAGTCCCTACGGGTCGAATAGAGTATTGGCGACTACAGTAAGTACAAACTTCAAAACGCATGGAGACGAGCAAGCACTGACGTCACTGTCTTGATCAGGTTCGATGTTTTGTCTGACGATTGCTTAGTTGCCTTACAGACCAAACAAAACAAGACGTTTGATGTATATAATTGACATACGTTTAAAAAGAGGCTCAAAATACCATGTAATCATGCTTTATTCAATAATTATGCAAACATATTTCATTCATATATACAACAGCCCTGTGAACTACAGTACATTATAATGTCAATATGAAAAACAAACACCCGAACGTGGTGCTGGTAACTTGGTGTGAATATAGTAATGGAACGAAATAATGTAATGGTATTATGTTTACCTACATTAGTATGGCACTGTCAGCGTATAACCTTACACAATTAATTTGGCAGGATTGGGACTTTGAATGACAGTCATAGAATAATTGATATATATGCCTCACAAATTATTATAGTACTATATTTATACTCATGAATTTCTATACGACTGATACAAGTTAATAGATAACGTCGTNGGGGGGGGCGGGGGGGGAGCTTTCTCACTAATTTTCGCCGTTCTGTTTGCTGCATTTCAAATAATTAAAAAACTGGATATTTTAACGTTTATTGTGGTACATGTATAAAAGCGTGGCAAGGAAAACGTTTGAAAGCAATTGGATGTCATACCATCATGAATGTTTAACATACATTTTAATTGTTATGTTTAAAACAACAA